GCCAATGGAAAATTATAGCAACATATTTAAAGCAAAAAAAATTTTTGCCTTTGACATCCTCTAAATTTACAAAGACGTACCCAAACTTTGATTTTTATTTTAGCATATGCGCAGAGTTACAAGCAAAAAAACTATCAGAATCACATTTACAATCAGAGTAACATTCAGAATCACAGTTGTTGCTTTATAAAGCTTCTCAACTTATGACACCATTTATTTATGCCATTAATAAACAAACTTGGTGGAAATTGGTAGCCCATGTGACTCCAATGATAACCGCTTCTCAACAATACGGCCATCAAAAACAGACGCCATCAATTAAAAACGCATAAGCATGTCACAATGAAAAACTTGTGAGACTATAGGGTAAAATCATTCCTTGAGCAATTTCAATTTTCGTAAGTTTTCTTGTCAAAAACTTAAAGACTTTTCTCTGGATCAACTCAACCGGAGCGAAATTTTTTTGAAAGTTTTCATTCCAGTGCATTTCTCAAGCAAACTATTTGAGTTGAAAGATCTGCCGACTTTTTGATTTCAATCTCTCCGTTAAGTTCAATTCAAGTTAGCCCTCAAACTTTTTTGCACAGTTATTCTCATCTATTTGAATTCAATTAATAAAGCGTCTTTTCTTTATTTTCTTTTTGTTCCGACCATTGAAAATGGGGAGGAACTTTGATTCGGGGTAATTAAACTTTTTCTTTTTGCTTTCCATTCAAAATCAGGAACCGAAAATTATCATTGGACTTGGCTGAGTGATGTATCACAATAAACATCTTTCAGTCGTGATCCAAACCATAATAAAAATTGTCAAAAAATTTTCCATTGTCGAAAAAAAACCAGTTCGAAATTTTCGGTTTTGTGTCTTAATTCTTCCAATAAAACTAGCAAGTATAACTTCTTTTCAGGACTTAGAAGCTTATAATAGTCCAATTCAAAAAGTAAATATTTACTGAGTTTAGTAAAGTTAATTTCCTGAGTATTTTAGCTTCATTTTTGAATCACAAACTTACAAAGTTCGAAATTGCAAAAATAAACTCGAAAAAACTTTATTTTTTTTTTCGAATTTTTTTGTTTTGTATTCTAGTAGTTTTTTTTGAAAATTATTTTAAAAGTTATTTTTTTTACTATGAAAATCCAATATGCCTAATCTCTAGTTTTTTTGCCCAGCTCCTTTCATCACACCACGCCGAAACAAAATCGACAATAATTTGAAAAAAAAAATGTTTGTTTTGTTTTTAAGACTATGGTCGGAACTTTCTGTTCCCCCGTAACCGGCTATCTTTGTTTAGGATTATAAAGAAGGTTTAACACTTACCTGTTTCTTCAAGTTTTGTTAAAATTTTTCGATAAAACTAGAGCTCTCTGAGACTTAACGAAATAGCTTTTGAAGAATACTCTTATTTTCACCGTGATGAGTTTATGTATGTCACAAGAATACCCGTAGTCGAGCAAAAAATACCCTTTGTTAAAAACGAAATGTCTCAATTTTGGAATTTTATTAGCACCAGAAAAAATCATTGCATAAGGATATTTAGCTACGGAGTGCACACCGCTTATGATCCGGAAGTTTTTAACTAAAATGCGCAAAGACACAAGAACAAGAAAGCTGTACAAAACGAAACAAGAAAGGCTCCACTAAAAATATACACCTGATATGTCTGATGATTTAACTACGAAAAGTGATACCATGAATGTGTGTTGCGAACAACTATCTAGCTAACAAAAGGAGTTGAGTTGTAGTAATGCATTTACTACACTAATATATAACTAAGTTTTTAAACACAAGTCTGATTCAAATGATGCTGTTGTTATTAGACTCATAATTTCCCTGTTTTTTTTCTGAATCTCACAAACCATTATGTCACGTTTTAGGTGGAATAGTTATTTGGATCTGCCATGAAAAGCGGACAAAAACGCGATAAGTTCGGGTCCTTTCAAAGCCTGACAAAAGACAATGATTAAATGAATACCTGCAAATCAATTACTTGATAAATATTTATTTTTTAAATTTATAAAATCAAAACAGTGCTTCTGTTTAATATCTCTATCAGTGAGAAGATGAAGTGTTATCGGATGAAAAAACCAGTTGATGATAAGACAAATGGAATCTGAAGCTTTTTGCTTCCAAAAAAAACGGTCTGAATCTTCATTTTATCATCTCTACTTGCTTAGTCTTGTTGATATCATTTTTCCAATTTTTCAAAAACTAAATCCTATTTTTCACAGAAAATCCACTTGCAATTTTTAACGTTCGCAAGACTGAGAGAGTTTTTGTTTTTTTTTATACTTTCCAATATTAAATTTCATATAACTTATCATGAATCCCTTTTGCAATCAATGGTGAATAGAAAACAGTTGGTCAAAGTTCGGTACTTTCATTTCTATCTACGTGTCCATCCATTTTCTTGCATATGCTTTCATTACTTTTTATTTGAACACTAAAGCAGACAAAAATAATTTTTCTGACAAGATCAGACTTAGGGGGTTTTTAAAATTACTGATAAATCAAGTCCCGCTACATGACCGAGCTCATGTTTCTCTTTGTAGAATATATAAAAGTAGCTGAAAAGAAAAGAGTGAAAAGAGTGGGATGTCACTGAAAAGAATTGCCAAAAAGAGAGTCATCTGATACATGGTTTGCGATGCCTCAAAAGCCCCAAAAGCGAACATGCCTCTAAAGCCAACGTTCATTAAATCATCAAACAACGTTTAGTAACAACCAAAAAAATATATTTTATAAGGTTAGATTTAAATAATTATAACTCGATTTCAAGAATAAAAAAACAGTTTGATTTGCTGGTTTCTTCGGTCAGTTTATTGTTTTTTCAGTTAGGAAAAGTTGCTAAGGCTACATTAAATGTATAGACTACCCAACAAAATTTGTTTGTTTTTGAGTTCTTCCTAGAAAAGTTCATATTTAATTGATTTTTTTAAAATGAAAACTTAAAAGAGAACTGATGAAAAAAGTTTGAAAATGTTGATACCTGACAGAGAATGGATTTGTTTACCAATCAGTCGTAACTAATTGGTCTTATTTACTTAAGTAAATTTTTTTCTAAATCACAATTTTTTTAAACCGAACTTTAGCAAATTTGTGTCCTATTTTTTGCCAATTTAGGTTTTTTGTTACGATCTTCGAAGAGTGTGATAGAATGTTTGCGCATGGGATGGTTTTTTTTCTCCAGACAAATTTCGACTTTGTAAGTATGCTTTTTTACTGCCTTTTTTCTACTATCTGTAGTTATTGATGCTTTGAGCTCAAATTTAAGTTAAGATTTTCAGCTGTAATCAGTTTTGTGAAATTATGGGGGTATAAAAACAGCCAGTTCGGAATGAATAACGCGAAGTAGCTCGGCTCAGAAATCATTTTTAAAATTAGGTTGGAGAGCTGACTTTTGAAAGCAACTCCAAAAAATTCTTATGAGAAATTTTCATCAATTTTATCAAATTTAATAATGTTTTATGGATGTTAAAGCGCATGCAGAATGTTGAAGGAATTGGCCCTGATACAAAAAGTAATCTCTCTATTTAATAGAGTCGATTTCATCTGCCTTACTAAAGCGCATTCAAATTGCTTGGTATGTTTTTTCAGACGTTATGTTAACATGGTATGGAAGAACGGAAAGATGGAGTAGCGTTGAAACTTGCAAGGGACTCATTAAATGGTGGTACTGTATTCGAATCCCGCTGTTAAAAAATCATTTTTTATTTTAAAGTTCATTATCCCTTTGATGTATTTTCAGGGGCAAATCATGGATTCCTTCTCAGGGGTGTTGGTGCATTTCAAAAAAAAAATAAGATTTTGGCCAAATTTCCAAAGATGTGGACAAAATTTTTAAAAATCAAGCCAAAATAGAAGTTTTTTTGGCTATTTTTGGATAAGTTTGACAAAAAAAACCGCATTTTTGCGGCGCTTCCTCCCCCGCCCCCTCAAAGTTAACATAAAATAAACGCTCAAGGCGCCTCAAGAAATATTGTTCTCACCCAAAAATGGAGGTCTTCATACAGTACCAAAATGAGGTTCTTCTGGGTTGTCACGAGGTCTAATACCTCCCCTAAATCTGCATACTGTGTTTTTGTATTTTTTTTTTCGTTTTGAGTATTTAATTTTTCTATTTGTGTGTGGGAAGTTAAGGAAGTTTGACTTTAAATTGGGTTTGGCAGCAATAATTTCAAGTTCAAGTTTTTCAGTCCAATGTGTTAAATCTTCAAAACTGGGTTCTTACTTGAAAACTCAGGTGAGTTGAAAGAATCTAGATTTTTCCTGAATTGAAAGAAGTGAAATGTGAAAGATAAATTAGTGTTCAGATGGTTAATTAATTGAGCCATTATGAGAAGCTAAAGAGTCCTGCTTTTGAATTTTTCAAATGCCTTTGAAGTCTTTGAACTTTTTTGAGCCAGACATTGATGATGGGAAAATTTGCTGAGAAGGAGAAGATTCCGGACATCATGTTCATGCAACATTTTTTATGTAAAACACCGTCAGCTTTTGGCAAATTATTTACGTAGCAGAAAAATTATTTTGATCAAGCTTTTTTTGCTTCTGTCGCCAGAAAGTAAGAAAAACGTGTTTTTGTCTTTGTTTTGACGATGGTTTTAAATATGCCGATTTTTTACCATATGCTGAATAATGCTGTCATTGTTGGTTTTGTTTTTAGATATAATTAACGATAGATATGGCATTTGTTTCGTGAACAAACGTATAAGTTTGGTAACTTTTTTGTTTCGATTGCCAAAAGTTTTCTTAACCGCGGTACCAGCGAAGTTAGAATTTATAAATATAATAAAAAAACTTGATAAATAAAACTGCAACCAACACGAGCTTACCGCTCAAATTATAAATAATGTTGTGAAAACTGTAATGAAAGCTACAAGAAAAGTTGAATCGAGGCTTATAAAGGCATAGACTGTATAAACCAAGAAAAAAATAATAGTCGACCAAAATTAACATAGAAACTTTTGCACGAGCTTCAAAAACCAAACCGCAACTAAATACTGTGTAAAACTGTGCTTTAACAATTTAAACAGTGATTTGAACAGCTGGTCAAAATCTGAACAGAAACTTAAAGCCAAATCAAGTCGCAATGGAAGCAGAAAAAGCAAAGAGACTGAAGCTGTGGGCGGGCGATGTTTTGGATACTGCTATTGTAGACGGGGACAATCTCGTAGAGGCCATTGCTGGAGGATTGGGAGAGAAGCTTGGGCTAACACTTCCCGGTACGTCAGTCATTTCTACATATTAAAAACAGCAAAAACAATTAAGTTATATACCTCGCAACAACAAAAAATATAAGAACATGTGTTTTATACGAGTTTTTAGCGCGTATCAAGAATCTATACAGAGCAGGAAGTAAAAATAATCATTTGTTTAGAAGTGAACGTTGATACCTTCAATGGTTGATTTTAAAGGGGTCCAAATGTTTCGGCTGCAGTAGCTGTACCCCTTATTACAGGTAGACGCAAAAAAACGGCCTTGAAAAGCAAAAAAGAGACTTTTGCTATACAAAATTACTCACACTGGAATGTAGGTAAATAGTTTAAGCTTTAGTCAGGCTAGACATCGTTTCATAGATCCTCTGCAAACTGCTACAAACTACAATTATTATGATTATTGGGCTGGTTTTTTTATGAAGTATGTTTTATCGTAACATTATGTATATTAGGAGATTAAGTACCATTTTTAGCCAAATTTTTTGAACACTGGATTTTCTGTTTTTTTTCTGATTCTATTTACTTATCTGGACAACAAGCGCCTCATGCTTGATTTTATAACTAATTTAAGATGGACGTCTACGGAGACAAAATTTCAACACAAAAACAAAAAGAATCGAATTTGGAAAATCCTACTTTCTCAAGTTTTCTTTCTGCAAAACAAAATTTCTATGTAATGTTAGGCTAAAGAGTTTTGATTCATTTTCAATTTTAAAAAATTTTTCTTTTAGGCGAGTTGTTTTTGTTATTTTAAATGAAAAAATAGAGCAGGTGAAAACCAGCTTTTTTCTAGAAATGAAGGTTAAGATTTATTTTCATTGTTTTGCCGAAATGGATTTGGGGTATATAAAATTAAAAACAACAAAAACGATGAAAAAAATTAGTTTTTTTGTTTTTAAATTTTTGCTAAAATAACCTACAGATAATTTATTTTGGAGCACGGGTGAAATATTTTGTTAGTTTGAATACCAATGAGCCCTTCAGATTATTCATGATCAGGTTAGACCAAACCGTTTAGAAAGCACAAAAAATTCTGAAATTCACAATGCTGTTTACAAAACAATTGAAGGGTATCTTGGTATTCAAACAAAAAAAATGAAAATATTTTACCTTAACTAGTTCAGCCAAATTTATTTTTAAAGTTCAAGGAGTTTTGGTCACAAGAATTTTGTTATTGTCATACCTTTCATATGGCCCAGCAAACTTAGTTCGGAAACATCTTTCAGTTTTTGCTTGTTGGTCGAAAATGTTTCATCGAAGTTTCTCATTTTTCGCTTAGTTATTGATTCATAAAGTGAAGCTCACGGTATTCGGACTTTTTAACACGACAGTGTGATAATCCCTAAATCTTATCTGAAAACTAGACAATAATATGGTTGAATTAATAGTAAAGTTTAGTAAGTAGATATAGATCAATGAATAGAAGATAACTATAATCTTGCAAAAGCTAACGAAGAGTGAGTCTTAGTTTTTAGCACCATCAAGTTGTTAGAACAATCGACATGATTGACAGGTCTTTAATTAGTGTGATTCAAATGATCTCTAACATCGATAATAACATGGTATAACGTCCTCTATCTTAGGTGGTCCACTCACTACCACCACATTTCCCCCTCTAGAAAATTTCAACAACGTTTGGAATTCTCTTACAAGTTCACAATTAACAAATTCAGTCAATAAATTTTAAAGTTTTAAGTCAATAAGTTTTTTTTCCGTGTACTTGTTCCAACTTGCTCGTCGTGAATCTTGGTCTCCTTAGTTTGCTCCTCCGTGATGGTGACAGTGTATCTCCTGATGATGAGGGAATATCTCCTGTTGAAATTGGAATTGTGTGTAGCCCCTCTTTTTCCTCTATGATTTTGACTGAATGTTTTGGTGGGCTTCCAAAGAATTGTGTCTGCCGCTTGCTTCTGCCCGACGACCTTGAGATGTTCGAAACCTGTGAGTCATTATCTCCTTCACCGTTTCTTTTCTCCTTTTTCTTCTTTGATTTCTTTTATCCGCTGATTTATTTTCCTCCAATTTCTTTTCCGTTGTTTCTGATGTTGTCCCCATCTTTTCGTCCGTTATTTCTTCTTGGCTCTTTTGTTGCGACTGGTACTATGGAAAGTGGGCATTCTTCTGTCGACTGTGCGTCTAGTTTCTTTTCTACTGGTGGTACCATTTGCACCTCTTGCTCTGGAGAACTGCTTGATGACATAGTTAGATCAATTACCCCCACCGCTAGGTACTTCTTTTAGTTTGTTTGGCGATGCTATATATCTGGAAGCTAAAGTTGGCGGATTTTTTTTCGCTATCTTTGTCAATGAGGAATATAACTTCATCGTCTTAGCTTGCAGTCTGTCCAATTTCTCGAATGGCCTACCAGTGTCGTGTTTTCCGTGTCCGAATTCTCTGTTGACGTTGAAACCGGTGAAACATCTGGTCTCGGCAATATGTGAACTGGTCTGTTTATTCCACTTGAGCTGCACTGGTGTAATGGTTTCCTCGGTGTGCTTGCGACTGGTGTCTTTTACCTAAATCTGAACAATATGCTGACTTGATTTTTGGTTTTAGTGATATGTGGTTTTTCCTAATTACTTTCTCATTTTCAGTAATGTAAGTATTTCGAAGGATATTGAATAAGATCGAATTCTAGGTTACTTGTTTTTGTCCTTTGTTCTGGCATCTCCTGTTCTACTCTGAATCTTAGAATTCCTTGGTTCAAGTCGCTTCTGAGGCTTCCTGCTAGTAATGGGTTTCTTTCGTTCAGTTTTCTCAAAACCTCGGATCGCACCTTGTGTGTGAGATGTCTGCTGTGTAATTTCCAGTCCGATGCTTTTCTAATGCCCTAATTCTGTCTGGCTTTTCTTCGTTTTTCTTCATTTTTGGTGACACGTCAATGCTTGCCATTCCTTTCTTCACCACCTTCATTCTTGTTCTTGAGTCTGCTGATTCTCGCATTTCCTCCGGCTTCAGTAGGGATCTCTCTGTTGATCTAGATTTAAAGAACATTTTAGTTTATCCCTAAAACTAGGCCATTCTGTATTCGGTTTCCGTCCAAAATGAAGTTCGAAAAGTCATTTCTTAAGAACGCTGTGACGTGATATTCGAATATCTTCCAAAATTGACTTGACTGCTGTTTGTATGTCCTCAAAATTTAAGTCTAATTGCATTGTGCCTAGTTTTATTTTTATGGTTTGAATACATCTTTCTACTAACCCAAACCCCCGGTGGTCTCCTACTGGATAAAAGATTTGATTTATTCCCTTCGATTTATAAATTTCGGCTAGTTTCGCATTTTCAAATCCCGAATTTTGATCTGTCCTTAACTTCTCCGGTTTGCTATAATGGTGTATGTAAGTGTTTAAGAATTTGAGTATTTTTTCGCTCCCTGACTTCCTGGTAATCATAGCAGATGGGTATTTCGAAAACCGGTCAATAGCGGCTATTATAAATAGTTTCTTTCCCTTAGAATCGAACATTGGGCCAGCAAGATCTATTTGTAATTCCTCGTTCGCTTCTGATAATTCTGGTAAACGTTCTGTCGAATTGAATGATTTTGACGTTTTAAGGTTCTTACCATACGCTAAACATGATCTGCAGAATTGACATAAGTCAATAATCTCCCTATGCATTTTCGGCCACCACAGATATTGTGCCGCGTCCACCATTGTCTCCTGTCCTGGGTGTGTTCTGTGCAATCGGGCCATTACCGCTTTCCTCAGACATGATGGATTGCCACTCTGTTGTCAATAATGATGCAGTCGTTGATTACTGAGGCTTCGTCCCAAAAAATTGCCATGTAGCTGCCCAGCCTCAAGAATCCTTTTTTTACTTTCGCTAAGAGGTTTTTTCTTAGTTTTCCTGAGTGGCAGTGTTCTGTTGTGAGCTCCCCCAGTAGGTCCGCGTCGAGTATGTTATGAAGGCCTTTCGTGAAGGATTTCTTGTGTGTGTTCACTGGAGCTTCCTGTGTTTTCTTCTTTTCATTTTTGCTTGCTATCATGTTGACCCTCACTGTCCTTTTCAATCTGTTTGTTCTGAAGTTTGCCAGCATTCTAGCATAGCTCGTCTTGTTTCTGTTTGTGATAGTGATCCTTTTCCTTTTCCTGCTCTCGGTTATCATCTCCACTGTCTGTCTTGTTTCTGTTCTATTTCTTTCTCCGATTGGGTTTTCCATCTGCTTTATTGATGGTAGATTAAATTTGCTCATTTTTCTCTGAAATTTTGGTATTGTTGTACTTATTTTGGTTTTATTTGAGTTGATGAGGTTTCAGTTTAAAGTCGGAGACAATGATTTCTGTACATTTTTGGCTGAATATAACTCCGCTGCCTCTGATTGGTTGGATTTTGTTACATCGCCCTCTCGTGGTGAACTGTTTAGATTTGACGATGTTGTGAATAAATTAAAATTTGACGAATTTGATTGGTTTAATATTACACCGCGTGAATTTCCGCCCTATCGTGGTGAGTTGTGCATTTGCATATTTCGTTTTGATTGCTTGGCAGTTTTGCCGCGTAGATTTCGGATCTGTACTTGAGGGATGTGAATGTGCATAAATTGATCTGATTGAATAGTGTCAATTCCGCATGACGATGCGCCCTCTTGCAGATGCTTGAAAATTTGCATATCTACTTTTGATTGGTTAATACATGTTCCTTCTGTATCGGATGTTTTATTAGTTTTGGCGGTTCTGCATCGAAGGTCTGATGGAGAAAAATTTTTAAAGAATTATCGACGCCCCCTTGCGGTGCTTCGGAAACTGGGTGTTTTCGTTCGTTCCTCTTCCCAACTAATATGAGTTCCTTTGAATTTATCCTGTTTTCCTCTAGATGGGCCTTGGCTAACAGAATTTTCACGATTTCTTTGGTCGATGCTGGAGTGTTGATCACCCTGCATGCCTCGTCAAAGTTTTCAATGGCTTTGACTACAAACTGTTCATCGTATTTTGATGTAGGTGGTGCCTCGAATTTGGTACTTCTTGATAAGTAATCTGCCAATCCTATTTAGCTCCTGCGATGTGAGA